TGTAAACAGAGGCAGCAATGCTATGGCAGCGAGTTTCCGGGCAAGGCGGATCAAGCATGCATCACTCACGCATCCCAAGGCAGGGATGCGGCCACCTTCTTGCTGCATTTATTTTGTTAATTAATTAAGGGTCTGTAATAATTAATTAGCTAGGATAGTCGATTTATTATTCGGACTGTATTATTCTTTTGGTCCCTCCGAGCGAGGGCAAACTTGTAATAAGTGTGGGTGCGTGTGTGCATGTCTTCCAACCCCCACTTCTTTCTCCCTTTTATTTACCCGCTTATGATGCTAGACTAGGGCATATTTAAATTAGCATAACAGTATGATAGCATGCGTGCATCCATACATTTGTCTTACATGCACCGGGCTCGGCACATCATGCTAACTGCACCTGTATTTCAATCCCAAGTTGAGTACTTGTTAGTTGTAGCATTTCACATGCCATCTTTAGGATAGCCGAGCCTGTTTAGATTGCATCTTTGCATGTGTTGCATTAGCCATTTTTAACATGAACTATGATCATGTATATGATTACTGACTAGTTTCTGTTTTGGCTCGGAGTACTAGGTAAGCTTTTATGCTTTAGCATATCGCATGCGTGTGAAGGTTGCCATGATAGCATGATTACCATGAGGCTAGCTGCTTATGTGATATAACTGCTTGAATGCCTGTGGATGGAGGTCAAATTACCTAAATTGGAATAATGCATTAAAACTGTGAGTTTTAAGCCCACTAGATAGTGGAAAAACCATCTTTTCTAAAGCCCACTTGAGGGTGGCAAAACCTGCATTTTAGCCTACTTGCGAGTAGCAAACCATTTTCAAAACAAACATGCTATGTTTCGTTCCAATTTAAGCGATTTGGTCTATACTTGTTTGCTGTGCGCATAACATAGTAATTCTAAGCTAAAAACCGGAATAAGAACACATAACGTTGTCAAAACTGGATATCATGGTTAGTAGAGGCCGATCTTCGGATCGGGCGAGAGGGGGTGCTCATAGCTGACCTTCCCCAATCGTACCCAAGTTCCCGAGCCGAGACAACTTTGGTGATGACGGACACGTGGCCTTTGGCACTGAGTCAGGGTTTCCTAAATTCTCCCAAAATAAAATATTTAGGTGGCGACTCTGTATTTGGCAAAGCAGTCCATGTTTGGCACTTCTTTCAACATCTGTTTTCTCAAAACGATTTGCCGGATTTGAACTCTTTGGTTCAGATTTAGAACCGTGACAATTTGAGAGTCCGAACTGTAGTAGACCCGCAAAACGAACGGAACGGGACCTCACCCTCCCGGGGTGTTCGGGGACGTCTACAGTTGGAGAAATATTATTACGAGTGTTGGACAAAAGTTTGAGGGTGGTGTGGTTGAGTTCCGTACTGTTTTATGCAAGTATGCTATTGAGGTTGGCTTTCAGTTTACGTATGTTAAAAATAACAAGCTGAGGGTTACGACAGAATGTGCATATAAGGAATCAAGGGGATGTATGTGGCGTGTACATGCTTCAGTTGAAAAAACAAATGGGTTCTTTTACATAAGAACTTTGAACAATGAACATACGTGTGGTGTGGCGGTTCGTACTAGTAAACATGATAGGATGACTTCCAGCTTAGTTTCTGGGCTGATACTTGAAGAGGTAAGTGCAAAACCTTTAACTCGTCCAGTGGATGTTGTCAAAGAAATGAAAGACAAGTATGGGGTCTCAATCAGTTATAACTGTGGTTGGTTGGAGGTTGAAAAAGCAAAATGTAGTACATATGGGGATTCTTGTTTATCATTCGATCAATTACGGTGGTATTTTGATGAGGCATTGAAAAACAATCCAGGCAGTCGTTTTGAGTTAGATTTTGACGATAACAAGCGTTTCAAAAGAGTGTTTGTGGCTTTTCATGCATGCATTGCTGGTTTCAAATATTGTCGGTCACTGCTGTTTGTTGATGGAACATTTTTTAAAGGACGATACAAATGAGTTATGTTTGCCGCGACGGGGAAAGATGGGAATGAAGGTAATTGTAAATATATCTTATTTTATCTAAATATGTGAATTTTCTATACATGTAAGAATTGAGTGAATGTGATTTTTCTCTGACACTTTGAATTTTCTTTGGTTTTGGCCACTGTGTGAATTTTCTCTGGTTGTGGCCAGTGTGAATTTTCTCTAGATTTTGGTCAGTGTGTGAATTTTCTCTAGATGTTGTCATTGTGTGAATTTTATCTATAGTTAGTCACTAAGTGAATTTTCTCTGGATATTGTCACTAAGTGAATTTTCTCTAGATGTTGCCAATGTGTGAATTTTATTTGTAGTTGGTCAGTATTGAATTTTCTCTGGAGTTTGTCACTAAGTGAATTTTCTCTGGAGGCTGCCATTGTGTGAATTTTCTCTTGATGTTGGCAGTGTCAAATTTCTCTGGTTGTTTATTGTTCTAATCTTCTCTACATGTGTATATCTAATATGTTAGTTCCTATTTGTTTTGTAGGTTTTTTTCCTATAGCTTTTGCTGTTGTTGATGCTAAGAATAAAGACAATTAGTGTTGGTTCCTTGAACATTTATGTGAAGTATTGGAATCGGAGAGGGTGATAAGTTTCATATCAGATCAACATTGTAGTATTGTGGAAGGAATTGCTAGGTTTTTCCCTAATTACTTTCATGGATTGTCTTGAACATCTAAAGAGAAATGAGAGGGATAAGTTGTTATGTGGAAACACAAATTTGGTTAGGGAGACGATTGTGTCCAAGTTTTCAGAATGTGCATATGCGCCAACAAATTCATCATTTCATTTCAAGTTAAATGAAAAAGTGAGGGAGGAGACATTGTGAGTGTTTTCTTGAGAAGTTTACCATATGAAAATTGGAGTGATTCATATTTTGAAGGGAAATGTTATGGTGAGATGTATTCAAATGTTGCTGAGTCATTCAATTCGTGGATACGAGACGCTCGGCACTTGCCAATAACAAATTTTGTAGACTTAATACGGTTGCAAATCATGAATATGAGGTCTGATAGAAGGCTGCTCTCTAGTAAATGGAATAAAGTTCTCTGTCCCCTTATGGATAGTGTATTGGAGAAGGCTTTCTTGGATGGGAGGACATGGAATGTGAGTTTATCATCTGATAATGTCTTTGAAGTGCATTGTTTTCCTTCGGTTATGGTTGATCTTGGGTTGAGAACTTGTTCATGTCGAAAATGGGAAATAAATGGGTATCCATGTCAACATGCTGTTACTGCAATTTTTAGGAGTATAAAGAATTTGAATTCATTTGTTGAACTATTTTTTCATGCTGATATGTATCGTAAAGCATACTCGTTTTCGATTGGCCCAGTTCCAACTATTGAAAAACCTATGTGTAGCATTGATGATGCAATGATTTTACCTCCATTGAATAAGAGACCAGCTGGGAGGCCAAAAAAGAGCAGAATTACTTCTACTGGAGAGTTTAAAAGGGTAATTAAGTATAGTCGTTGTGAGAGTATTGGTCGCCATAATAAGAGGACATGCAAGGAACCTTTGTTAAATAGTTGATGATAACACAATTTATTGATTGAATAATACATTTGATGATTACTTTGTGTATTTTGTTTTGTGAAATGTATTTTTTGGACAGTGTATATAATAACACCTATCAAATTCATCTAGAGAAATTTTCTAATAGCAGTGAAAGTGTGCATTGTGTTTGTTGATTCATACTATAGGCAGTGTGTTTATAATACCAGTCAAATTCATTCAGAAAAATTTGTCTATGGCAGAGAAAATTCTTTGTGTATTGTGTTTTGAAGTTTCAAATTCATCGAAAGAAATTTTCCAATAGCAGAGAAAATTACTGTGTGTATTGTGTTTTTTAAATTTGATGATTCTTTTGTAGCAACACAGTACATTACAGATTGTATGATCATATAGGCACCTTCTTTGGGTCGATACGAGTTAAATTTCTTTGTGAATTTCTGGTAATTTCATACCAGTCAAATTTATCCATAGAAATTTGCTAATAAAAGAGAAATTTACTATGGGCATTGTGTTTGTTGAAATGAGCATTGTGTTTTGTGAGGTCCAATTCATCCAGAGAAATTTGCCAATAGCATTGAAAATTACAATGTGCATTGTGTTTGTTGAAACATACTATGGGCATTGTCTTTATAATACCAGTCAATTTCATCCAGACAAATTTGCCACTAGCAAAGAAAATTATCTGTGCATTGTGTTTTGAAGCTTCGAATTCATCCAGTGAAATTTGCCAGTAGCAGAGAAAATTACTGTTTGCTTTGTGTTTTCTGAATTTGATGATTGTTTTCTACCAACACATAGCATTATAGATTACATAATCATATAGGCATCATACCAGAGAAATTTATGCTATTGGCAAAATACAAGTTAAATTTCTCTGTGAATTTCTGATAACATCATACCAGAGAAATTTCTGCAGACAATTTTCTCTGTGTGGATTGTGTTGACAATCACAATAAAAAATATATATATTTAACCACTGATAGCTATGAAATTTACATTAGTCAAAAAAAGATATATACATATATGTCAAACATCATCATTCCTTTAATGTATGAAAAAACAAATTGAATGGTTAACCTAATTACATTGTGTACATTGTTTTCCTTTCACTAGTGTGCTTTCACTAGTGTGCTTTCACTATTATACTTTTGGTTCTTCTTCTGGTGGTATTTGAATTGGTTATGTCCATAACCGGCCGACTTCGGTCACAAATCTCTCTATGATTTCTGCCCTCATCAACCTTACGTCTTGTGTGGACAATTTAGAGCTGATAGGTTCATGGTTGCTATATTGTCTCATTATGTAGCGTACAAAGACGCCACAATCCAGACTGCACACAAATTATAGGTATAGTTAGTTTTAAAAAATATTCAAATTAGATTATCTTATTTATAGATGTTGTATGAAACTTACGAATCACTGTCTTGTTGTGGAGCATTGTTGACATATTCAAAGTCATAATTTGTGTTTTGTGAGTCCATCAATTTGAAAGAGGGTTGTGATTGTGCCTCTCTTTCAAGGCAAGCTTTCAAAAAATTCTCCACATAATCTTGCTGTAAAAAAATAATTTTTAAATAATAAAGAAATTTACAGACAAATCAATGGGATTCTATGAAAATTACCATCACATAAACATTATGATGCATCAAAGAAATTTGAACTCGTTACCAATTGTTTTGCATCTTTGATATATTTGTCTTGTGCATCATCCCTCATTGGCCTTAGCGAGTTGTAGAACCTCCATAAATTGTCTTGTTTGTCCAAGACTAGCAAGGTCCAGTGATTTCCATATGTTGACTTCTTATTACCCCCAGTATTTATTGGGAAATAAAGGAACCTGTAGTTCCTCCATGCTGTTTCAAGATGCTTGTCAAATAATGAGACTCGAAAAGTTTGATTTTCCGTCATCTTGATGAAGTTTTGCGGTCAGAGAAAATCAAAAAATTATTATGTTATGAGAAAGTTGAAATAACAAGAATTTAAGAAATATACACACAGAGAAATTTTAAATGCACACAACTAGCCAGAGAAAATTAGACTAGGGACACAACTGGCTTCAAGAAGTATCTTAATAAGAGAAAGTAGTAAATAAATTCCAGAGAAAATCAAATAAAAAGTGTAGTAACATACTAAGCTCATGGATGTGAAAAAATATGAAGTTGGTTGTTGTCGTTTTCTCCTTTGGTCAGCAAATAGGATCTCTCCATAACCATCAATGACCTGAAAAATATCATTTATAATTGTAACATTGGTTTATAAATGCTGTTTCAAGATGCTTGTCAAATAATGAGACTTGAAAAGTTTGATTTTCCGTCATCTTGATGAAGTTTTGCGGTCAGAGAAAATCAAAAAATGATTATGTTATGAGAAAGTTGAAATGACAAGAATTTAAGAAATATACACACAGAGAAATTTTAAATGCACACAACTAGCCAGAGAAAATTAGACGAGGGACACAACTGGCTTCAAGAAGTATCTTAATAAGAGAAAGTAGTAAATAAATTCCAAAGAAAATCAAATAAAAGTGTAGTAACATACTAAGCTCATGGATGTGAAAAAATATGAAGTTAGTTGTTGTCGTTTTCTCCTTTGGTCAGCAAATAGGATCTCTCCATAGCCATCAATGACCTGAAAAATATCATTTATAATTGCAACATTGGTTTATAAAGGCTAATGGAATATTGCAGAGAAATTTTGATGAAAGACTTACATTGTTGGCAATTTCTTTTTTCTTTATTAGGTTTCCAATATCTTCAAAGGTAATGAAATTCAACTCACTTGTCCAGATTAAAGCCCTACAAGATGACAAAGAAGGGATTTAATAGTTGTTAATGCAATATAAGTTAGTAAATTGTTGTTTGTTATCTTCTTTTTTATTTGTTGTACTTACTCGAGTCTAGACACATTTGATATGTGCTGTAAGATGTCTTTTACATGTTCTTTTATCAATCTTGAAACTGGTAGAGTTTGTGAAAAAACTCAAGATTTTCTGATGTTTGTTGGTGGAGGCAAGACATACGCATCGGCATCAAGTACTTCTTTGTCTTTGGTGGTTTGCTCTATTTGCTTTGCAGCTTGCTTTGAAGCTCTAGTCACCTTTGCAACTTTGGGATATTGAAATACTAGATGTTGTTGCTTTTCTTTCCTTTCTTTTGCCTTTAAATTCTTTATCATTGATGTAGGATCTTTTTTCACTGTAGACAGTGAAAATATTAGTAAAAGTGAAATTTCTCTAAGTAAGAGATGATATTTCAATATGTAAATTTATTTGATTCAATATTTTCCAGTTATCATAGAATTTTGTCTTTTGTTTTGGTTGTTCTTTGTGTGTCACTTGTTCTTGCTGGGTTGTTGGTTATTGTTCCAGTTCTATTCCAACTATACACAGTGAAAATCAAACAAATCCCAAAAATCAAATAAGCAAATAGTCAGAGAAAATCAAATAAGCAGTAGAAACCAATAGAAATAAGCAGTAGAAACTAATGTGGTCAGAGAAATTTAACTTCCAGAGAAAATGATAATAAATAGAAATTTCTCTGAGTTATGTTGACGCAAGGACATAACTTTTTTGTGGCTCAAGATTTTCACTGACCTTGTGGTTGAACTTGTGTTGGTATTTGGTAAGGGTGTGCTGCTAGTTGGACGGATAGTTCTTGAATTTGTTCATGCAATCTAGCATTTTTAGTTTCAGGCTCTGAAATTGAATACCTCAACTGTTGAATTGTTTTTGTATCATCTTCTTTTTGAACCTCCAACATCCTTAGTTTCATTTGGATTGTGTTGTCTCTTTCTTGAAGTTCTGAGTTATGTGATGTCAAGGTTCTTATTGCAATATCCTTTTCTGCAAGTAATTCATTCCAATTTCTCTCTTCTTCTATTTTAGATTTAGAAAGTGCCTTTAGGCTTTGATAGAGATCAGCAATTTTGGCATCCTTTGATTCCTCATATTCTTGAGGCTAATACATTATTGAGCCACATATGCTATCATGATGTTGGTCCATCGGCTCATTACGTTCTTCTTCATCACTTTCCTTATTGTTTTCTTCTTGCTGTTTAGATTGAGTGCCTTCATCTTCTTCTTCACTGTCTTCTTCTTCTGTTCATTTTCTTCTTTGTCTTCTACTTCTATTTCTTCACTTTCTTCTCTGGCTTCCGCTTCTCCACTGCTTGCTTGATCTTCTTGTCCATTGCTGGCTTCGTGTTCTTCTATGTTGCCTTCTCGTTCCTCATTCCCTGGTTCTTCAGATGAATCTTCTAATGTCTCCTTGAATTTGACAATTGCCTTTTTTGATTCTTTCTTCTTCTTTTTACCAAGACAAAACTCCTCTGATGGGTTTTTAACTAGCTCATTGTTATCTATCTGTAACAGGAGGCTCTTTTATTAGAGAAATGTTACAAAATTCACTGAGAGAAAAAATTCAAATAAGGCAAATAAAATTCATCTAAATGATACTAATGGAAAACAAACTTCAGAGAAAATTGTATGGGCTAGAGAAAATTATAGACAATGAGTTAATTTTATGAGGCAGAGAAAATTATGAAATAAGCAACATAATTTAGATATCAGAGAAAATCAATCAAGGCATATAAGTTAATGTTTGGCTATAATTGTGTCAGAGAAATTTTGATTCCAGAGAAAATTTATTAGAAGGGTAGAAATAAACAGTGTTTATCAAAGATGCAAGGCACATAAGTTATGGGCCAGAGAAAATTACACACAAGGAGATAAAATTTTATGCGCCAGAGAAAATTATGAAACAACCAACATAATTCAGATATTAGAGAAAATCAATCAGGGCATATAAGTTAATGTGTTACAATTGTGGTCAGAGAAATTTGGATTGCAAAGAAAATTGATTATAATGGCAGAAATAAACCAGTTGTAATCAAAAAAGAAACATAAATTGATAGTTCAGAGAAAATTGATCTCAATCAATCAAGGCACAAGGACGGAAACAAACTAGTGGTCAGAGAAATTTTGGAATTTCACTGAGATTTCATTGGCGATAGAAATCTAACCTGTCGAGGTGAAAGAGAGTGGACTAGTGTCTTCTGCAGCTGTTTCGTCAAGCTTTGCAAGTTCCACTTGGCACATCTTGGGAAATCAATTGTGTTACTGTCTTCCAAGTCTATGATATTTGCATGTTCACATAGCCAATACTGTGATGGGAATTAAAGTAATTAAATTTTGCTAAACATACAAATTTGTAAGTATGATAACTGCAAATTTGAATGGAAATTATACTTACTAGCAATGCAATGACACACCCCATAACGTTTTTTGGAGTTTTGTGCAATGCTATGATAGAATCAATCAATGTTGATGTGATTGCTTCTGGCCAATCATACTGTTTCATTGATTCAAGAGGTTCCACATACTTTACAAAAACCCACCATATTGAATTCTCACTTGTTATAAAAAATAGGGTGAGACACAACTACAATGTAACAATGATTGCTACATCTTTGTAGTTAGTTGGTTGCTTGCCTTTCATTGCTTTGACCAAGGCATTTTTAAGAACAAGACCAGTAAGCCTTGTGTCCTTTGGGAATCTTCTCCTTAGGAATGCAGATTTTGACTTTTTAGAGTATCTTAATGACATGGCTCCTTTACCTCCTTGCAAACCGAAAATCAAGGTCACGTCATTTGTTGTAAAGGTCAAGTTCTTTTTACCAACTGTGAATGCTTTTATTTTTTCATTGTAACATTGGATTATTGCAACTACATCATCATCAGATTTCCTAGATTTCCTTGGATCCATCCTTCCAGTGGTTAGAGCTTGGATCATATACCAGAATGGGGTCTTTTGAAGCTCTACAAGTTGATTTAAATTGAATTTAAGTGTTTGAAAAAAGGAGACAACAAATGAGAGATTGGATCGGTATTGAATGCTGTAATGAGCTCTTTTTCTTTAGAGTTTAATAGGTTTTTTCCAATGAGCTGGAGTCTTTTGAAGTTGGGGTACTCATCTTGATGCTAGTTGCTTCATCACCTTGGACTTGTGTGTTTTGGCAAGGAGTTTGTGGTGTTTTGCTGGTTTTTGATCTTAGATCATAAGACGACTGAGAGAGTCTCTATTTCTTGCTTGGTGTTTCTGGTGTTTTGCTGCTTTTACATTTTGTCATTTCTAGACAATGATGAAAACATAAAGATGTCAATATTAAATCCCAGAGAAAATTGAACATGCTAGAAAAAATTGGACATGTCAAAGAAAATTGGACATAAGGGAGAAAACTAAGGTGGCCAGGGAAAATTATAAACGTCAGACAAAATTAGACACTAAAAATTAAATTTTAGAGTACTAATTGTTTTCCTGTGGAATACATCTAGTCACAGAAAATTTCCATTCCTAGAGAAAATCAACAAAGCAACATAAACATGGCAGAGAAATTTTCAATAATTGTTAAAATTACATATAGAAGTAAAATATAGCCAGAGAAAATTGAAAAATGAAACATATATCTAGCAAGCACAGAAAATGAATGACAGAGAAAAGTAAACATAGCAAGCCAAAGAAAATTTCCATTTGACAATTAGCAAGATAAAATAAACAAAGCAACGTAAACATGCCACTGAAAATTACACAACATTGAAATTAAGAATTGAACAAAATAAACATACAAGAGAAAATTACACGTTCTTGAGAAAATTTCCATTCTAGAGAAAATTTCAAGTCCATAATATTAAAATGCCAGAGAAATTTATATACACAACTAGAGAAAATTATATACACAACCAGAGAAAATTAAACATGATAGAAACACATAAGTGAGAAAAGTGATGTGGCTAAAGAAAATTATAAATGCGAGAGAAACTTAGACACAGACAAGAGAGTAATAGACATTCCAGAGAAAAATACATATTCTAGAGAAATTTACAAAGCAGAGAAATTTCTAAACAAAATCACATAAACATGTTCAAGAATAAGATCCAAACACAGATAAATAACTTTTTTTCAAAATAAACATACTAGAGAAAATTCAAAGAAGAAACATACATTCCAGTCCATAATATTAAAATGCCAGAGAAATTTACATACACAACCAGAGAAAATTAAAAATGATAGAGACACACAAGAGAGGAAAGCGATGTGGTTAAAGAAAATTATAAATACCAGAGAAACTTAGATAGAGACAAGAGAGTAATAGACATTCCAGAAAAAGATAGACATTCCAATTAAAAATACATATCACAGAGAAATTTACAGAGCAGAGAAATTTATAGAAAAAATCACAGAAACATGTTCAAGAATAAGATGAAAACACAGAAAAATAATTTTTTCAAAATAAACATGCCAAAGAAAATTCAAAAAAGAAACATACATCAAGCAAAAATCAGAGAAATTCAAATGCCAGAGAAATTTACAAATAAAATCACACAAACATGTTCAAGAATAAGTTCAAAACATAGAGAAATAACTGTTTTCAAATTCATGTAGCTTTTTATTACGAAATTGAAACCCTAATTTATGGAAGGTTAATATAAAATGCAATTAATTGTGTTTCAAGAGAAAATCTAGTTGTATTGTAGAAAAACTTACCAGAGTTAGGACGAAACTTTAATGACGAACTGATATGCCCTGAGATGAAGATGCGACGTGACGAAGATGAACTGAGATGACAATGAACAGTGAAAACGGGGTCAGAGAAATTTATGATGAATGAATGGGAATGATTTTTGCATAAGATAATGAAGCTCTAATGTCGATGGTGAAGATGATATTGAAACCCTAATTCTGGTATTCTCTTGCTCGTGAAGATGGTTGGATGTTTGGAATGGAACTCAGTCGTCGGAGTTCAATTCAATTTCAGTGTTGATTTGTGAAGGGTATTTTGGTCCATAAGATAATTAAAAATGTGCGCGATAATAGTTTAGGGACCTGATCCATCACCCCTTTTTTTTTGGTGTCCTTTATCCTCTAAATTACTATTATTAGGGACCTTAAAAAAAATTCCCCTTTTACTATTTTTTTTACCGTGGAATTCATTGAAATATCAAGTAAGAAATCCAATTTTAAATTATTGTATTAGTAAATAAATCAATTATAATTTGTTTTTTATAATAATTATAATGTTATATTTCTTGAGTAATTTCATATGATTTTTGTAGTTAACATAAATCATAGTCCTTGAGATTGAGATTGACATAAATCATAATGAATGAGATAAATTTTGAAGATTTTCAATTGTTAATATTATTAATTTATCCATACTCTTTCCTAACGATTGAATTGTAAAATTTGATCAATTTTAACTTAAGAAAAAATTATTTCTCTCCATACAATTGTAACTGTTATAGTCAAACAATATTGTATAAATAATTTATACATTTGACAAACAACCATCTATTACTTTTAAATAATTCATTTTAAAAAAATTATAAAACTTCATTTTTAAACTACTAATATTATAATGTAATGTTTGATTCACTAAGAGAAATTTAATTAAATGTATTAGTTATTTCTTAGTGTCTGTATAGATTAATTATTCTCTCATAATGGTGTATGACAATTTCGTTGTAATATTTTGTTGTGAATTTAACGCGAGAATAGATATTATGATAAAATGATTATCAGCAAGACTACAAAGCTAAAATTATCTATCCAAAATTTACCTAAAAATAAGAATTAATGATTTAGATTCATTTCATTCATAGATCCCACAATTCATCAATTTAATCTTTACCACACACCCATTCTGAGACCCTAACATTTTTGAATGATTATTCCATTCAACTTCATTTTAACAAATCAAACATTACTTAAGACTAAAATAATTAACCAAACATAATTTAAGATCGAAATTATTTTAAGAGCCTATTTTTTGGAAAGAATTCGAGGGCCCAAGGCAACACCTTGCCCGCCTTACCTCAGGGCCTGCCCTGTGGTCATGTCCCTCCGAACAAACATGCTCCAGCTCAAATGATATCAAACTCTTTTTGATAAGATTTGAACTCGTAACCTCACACTATAAAATAGTGCTACACAACCACTAAACTCTCATTTTCCCAATTATTTTTCTTTACGGGACCTTCATCATGGGCCTGAAAAAAAAAAAAAAAATTTGTTTTCCAATTTGGTGACTAATCGAGTCCATAACAAAATCAACATATTTTGCACTTAAAATCGGGAAAATTCCCTTAACCAGGGTTTTGGTTTTAGATCCTCAAAATTAATTACATAGACCCTTGTGAAACAAATCATAATCTAAAAATAAATAAAAAATAGGACTAAATTCATTTTACCCCCTCATGCTTTCATGCTTTTGGGGTTGAATAAGGCTACAAATGAGCTGAGCCGACTCAAGTATTGCTGAGCTCGAGCTTGGCTCGACTTGATAAGATTTTATTATTAAATATATTATTTAAATAAACATATTTAAGTAAAAAATATTATTTAATAATAAATAATATATTTATGCTATTATTTATATATTATTTAATATATAATATATTTATTATATAATTTAAATACAGATATGACGAGTCACGCTTAATCGAGCTTAAACTTGGCTCATTTACTAAATGAGCCTAATATTCGAGCTCAAATTCGGCTCGTTTAGTAAACGAGTCGAGTTAAGCCGAATCCTTAACGAGTCAAGCTAAGCTAACTCGCGAATAGCCCAATTCGTTTGTAACCCTAGAGTTTAAGCACTTTACCCTCTTATGATTCAAATATGGTCAGAAAATCCCATATAATTTTGAACTAGAGTATCCGCTGTTAATTTTTCCTTCCAAATTAACGGAACGTGTATGATACACATCATTTTTGAGTGAGTTTGATTTTCTAAAAAAATAAAATAAAATTAATACAACAAAAGGACAATTTTAACCTTATTTTCTCCAAACCTAAAATTATATTAATATGTTAATTAAAATAAAATAAATTAAAATATAATTAAGAATTGATCTAAAATATAAAATATAATTAAGAATTGATCTAAAATATAAAATAAATAATAATTAAGAATTAATCTAAAATATAATTAGATTAAAATTAGATTAACATGTTATGAATTACAATAAATAATTAAAATTTTAAGCTTAATTGTGATCTAAAATGTAATTAAATAAAAATGTTAGTAATTGGAATAAATAATTAAATATTTGGAATTAATTGTGATCTATATAGAATTTTAAAATATTATAGAATTTATATCTATAGTTAGTGTTACCGGTTATACTTTAATTCAAAATCACATGGAAATTTTCTGACTATGGCTTGCTTTGGCAAGCTGGTAAATGCTTTTTGGCTTTTTTAGGTCACATCACCTCTCTACTTTTTTACATCAAAAAAGTCAAAAAGTTGCCAAAAAAAAGTCAAAAAATCAACTTTTTACCATCTTTCCCAAACGAGTCCAGATCCCCTCCTTGAGCCCCCTCCTTCATTCCCTCCTTGCAGGGGCCTTCGAGTCCACTTTGAGGCCCAGTTTTGATAATCCGAACCGTTCATATTTTTAGATTTATTCAGTATATTATACCTATAAAAAATCAAGTTGATCGGATATCAGAAAGTATGCGTTCAGAAAATTGGGACTACAAACTATTTTTTAATAAACAGTTTTTCGAACACATACTTTATGATATTCGATCAACTTGATTTTTTACAGGTATGATATACTGAATAAATCTAAAAATATGAACGGTTCGGATTATCAAAATTGAGCCTCAAAGTGAGCCCGAAGGCCTTGCAAGGAGGGAATGAAGGACCGAAATGAAGGGGAGGATCCCAATTCTTCCCAAACACCACTATATTTAAATTATGGACCGGTAAAGTAACCTTGAACCACAAGGAGGCAAAATAAATTCTACCCCAAAAAGTAAATCAATGCTTTTCAAGCTAAGATAAATTCTACCCTAAATCAATTCAGCTCATTTTCCATCGTTCCTGATACGTCTTCAGGCCCCAAACTTCATCACATCCTTGGTGTCTTGTCAAGACTAGTAGGATTAGAGGAGTTAGAAAACAGAATCTGGTGAGAAACTTTTAGGATTGGGAAGGAAAGAAGAATTTGACAGATTGGATACATGGCTACCACCAGTGCTTATGGGACTGTGCAGACTCCATGTAGTTGCAATTAAAAAAAAAAAAACCTTCACAATTTTGCTTTCTGACTGAATAGTGTGCTTGGTCTTGGTCAGCCCAACACACTAAGCACTGCTACTTTGGGTAACAAGACTCTCAGTTGATGTAAGAGCAAGGGAATACCTTTGTCGCCTAAATACACCCCATAAATAGTACTTCCTACGAAATCCTGCAGATCAATAGGAATTGTGAACTTCATGATGAAAGCAAAACTAATTTTTGATCCACTTGCAACAGAATCACACTGGTGTAAAACTTACTCCAGTACTGCTGTGGCAATTCACGAGATGTGAAAGTCAAGAGCTCTGCATCACCAATCAGAGCCTTCAAAGCAAGGTTGTGCTCAATTATGTCGTCTAGCAGAATGTCAAAAACCTTCTCATCCCTTTAACAGAGCAAAGTTTGAAAAAGAAAATAAATGATCAAAGGAGGCATAGAGTCCATTAAACCTAAATATGAAGCAATGTATGCATTTTATTTTTTTTGGTCAGTAGCAAAATATATTCAAATCAAGTACGAAGATACCTTTCAGAATCAGGGAAGAAATAGAGTGCTATACTATCATCAGTGGGTGGCAACTTCTGGAAACTTTTTGGCCAAACATCAGACCTAGGCAGAATTTCAACATTAAGCACTGGTGGAAGCGCATTTGCCGCATCAAACACTTTTGAGCAAGCTTTACTTGATATATGGGCCACGAGTCCAAAAAGGGTTTCATTTTTTCCACTGGTAATGCTCAAGCATCCCCTATCCAAAATAGTCTAAAAAAGTAAAATACAGCAGCAAATAATGAATTGATTTAATATCTAAGGAAGCCTCTTCAAAATATATTACCAGGATAGCACGGTGCCCCTGGCTTCATGGAACCCACAAGAAAAGGTTGAATTGTTCAAAGTAATACAAAACCATGATTTTGAAAAAAAAAAAAAAAATTGACATTAAATCCTTTACAGCTTTATTGCAGGTTTGCACCCTTTGGTAATAGTAAGTCAATATGCCCAAAGGCCCATATTGTAGAGGCTTGCCTGACTAACAGAAGACCATTTTAAAGACAAAAATCTTACCTCCAAATTGGATCATTAACTGGTTGTCCATAGAGATGGCTATCAGGTTCTAAAGATGGCTGACAATATGACATATGGACAGAAGGACCTGACTGAGAGATATTAGCTTTGGCTAATTCAGGCTCTTCTGAACTGTCCCCATCTTCAAGCATTAACCTTCTTCTCTGTATCCTACACTCTTGACTTCCACGAGTCTCATCAAATGAAACATGAAATTTGTCCTCATTTGGTAGAGAGCAACCTGTTAGCTTAGCTGCTTTAAACAGCTCATTCTTCATGCCAGCTGGTCTCTTGGCCGTTGAAAAAGCTTTCTTACTCGGCCTCTTCTCCCAATTATTTTGAACTTCAACAGCTTGGTCTTTCCTTGAATTTATTCTTTCACTTTTCATAGATGGGCCAATTTGAGGAGCCTTGGCGGTACATTCTTCACACATCCAAGTGATGCTGTCATCATCAGGAGAAAATTTGTCTAGACAATAGCTAGACAAGTAAACATTAAATTAGATCAGGAAGTACAAAAACTACATAAAAAGGATTATTTAATTTAAACTGGTATAGCATAACTGGACAAGTTCTTCCTGTAGCTAACACCATAACTATTGTAGGTATTTGGTGATAAGGTCGTTGATAGTGGACCTGTAGGAAGATGGTGAACACTTACTGCAAAGTATAAGAAGCTCAAAGAAGGCTAAATTCAAAGAAGCGATGATATTTAGACATTGGCATTATTTTAGAGAGAAACTGATACGGATCTTATATAATTATGTTTCTAGTCTTAGAAGAGTCTTGAAGGGGGTCAATGTAACCAAAGCAAGGCTAGGACTGGGTCGAGCTCCCCCTTTGGGTCCAAACCAACTTAGGGTCACAGACATGGGCAAACTGACCTAATCCACTAGATTGGACCAAATACACCCAGGGTACCGACGTGAGCCGAACCTAATTAGCCCTACCAATGTGAGTCAAACACTAGAGTGGGCCGAACCCACCTAGTCCATTAGAATGGGCCAAGGCTGAAAACCAAAGCCCAAGACCATCTTTCGAAGAGGGTTGAGCTGAAAAATGGCCCAAGACCAAGATAGGCCCAGGCCTAGCATCCAACCCGAGGGGCCATAGGAGAACACATGCCATCATGGTCCAAAGATGCTGAAATGGTTAGGAGAAAAATATTCCATCATGAGGATACAGATCAAACCGCATGTGCCCAACCGATCTGTGGTCCCCCACACCCAGGAGTAATCATTATCTGATTTAACCAGGCATGTGAGCTACATGCACACCTTGGAGAGCAAGCAATTACAGCCTATATAATACATCCCCTTTGCCTTGAAGAGGATCTGGTTTTCACATTCTACAGATACTCTATATTCCTTCTCTCTCCCACCTTCTGTCCCTGGCTTTAGTATCGGAGGGGTTCTCCGACCAACTCCGCTCAGGCAGCCCTAACCAGTTCTGTGATTTTGCAGGTCTCAGTCCCCAAAAAGTCCATTCCAGTTACAGAGCTCCGATTCACTTCATCAATGTGAAATGCACTCTTCAACAAATCTTATTTACATTTATTATTAGTTAATAAAGCTACTAGGTCAGTTTTAAGGTTAGAGGTATTTTGGTAATTTGAAGAATTTCTGGATATAGGTTTTGGGCTGCCCATGAGTTGTCTTGTAGGTCAAGTTATTTAATTAATTTTTATTTATTTTTCTTATTTGGTCTTAAATAAGTTTTGGATGTCAAAATATTAGTAGTTCCCTATTTTGGAATCATAGTTGGAAAAGAAAGTCTCTAAATCTATATAAAGTCATGTAATATTTCTAATTCAATAGAACTGATATTTTAAAGAATTTTAGGAGTTTTGAAACTTTCTTATAGATTGTGTGATGCAATCGAACCTGTGATACCTAAGGGATTCTAGCCCATAAAAGCCGTTCACAGTCCTTTAAACACTCCCTAAACAGTGCCAAACTGTCATATTTTCATGCCTAGACTCCTACCCCTTCATTACACTAAACAAACCCTTCAAACCCTATATTCTTGTCGTGATTTCAGCTATAAAACCCAATTAAAATCAGCCACAAAAAAGCTCAGATTGCTGCTGTCTCTACTTGTCCTGCAGCAGTTTTGGTATCAAAGCTTAAGGTTTCACCACTATGTTCTTACAAAGTTGAAGATCCCATGCGTCACAATATGTCATACCCCATAACAAAGAAGTTCGAAATTTTAAAGGAAGGGATGATCCCAGTGTTCTCTAATTGGCTTGTTTCAATTGAGGAATTTTTTGATTGCTATGATTGGATGGATGATAGAAAGCGAGATTTGCTAAGATGAAAGTTATAGGTTTGGCACAATTTTGGTGGTATCGTGTTGAAGAGTATACAAGAAGATTGGAATTGCCACCGATAAACACATGATGAGATGAAAGCTAAGCTTCAAGAGAAGTATATCCCTCCAAATAATCTTGTTGAGTGACGTGAGCAACTTGTTAATTGAAGACATGGCAACACTTTCTTTGAATAATATATGCAAAGACTTGAAGAACTTGACAATCAAAATCTGGTTGTGGAAGGCTCACACCAAAGGCTTGCTGGATTTAAACATGGTTACAGGCCTATTACTAGGCAAGAAGTGCTACGTCAATCAAAATATAGCATGAAGCATGCACAAGAAGTCACGCCAAAGCCGGAACCTATTGTTGAAAATCAAAACGTTGCGCAATTGGAGCTACAAGTGAAAGAGAACAATCAAAATCTGTATAATGACCAGATTATGAAGGTTGAGAAGCTTCCAATTGAAGTTAACCTTCCAATTGAAGTTGCCACCACCTTTTCTTCGTTGGAAATAGGAATAAAAATATCAAGAGATAAATCTTTTCAATCATGCCAATAAATTTGTACCGAGTAACAAAGTCAATTGGCATAAGACACACATCCTTGAATTGATTTGAATAAGCTTTTACAAACCTTTTCTTCAATATTCCTGGCATTCCCTCTTTTATTTTCTGCACATTTTAACAGCCCAAAACACTGTTCGAGGTTGTACTGTTACAGCACCCAGGACAGTCCCAAAATCAATATTGCTTCTTATTACATTAAGCCCTAATCCTAATTCTTCCATACACTACTAGAAGCCCTAAATTTCCCATTACTTTTCATCTTGAAACCACAACAAAAAGCCACTAAAATCCAGCATTACAGGTCAAAGCACTGTCCTACATCAGTATCTCAATGGCTAGAGATCACCGGACGTGGAGGAGGAAAGAACCAAGAAAGCCTTAGAGGAAGAGAGGGTGGCAATGAGAGACCCTTGTCACCAGATTAGAGGAAAATGATAGCCAGAGTTGTGTGTTTGTTACCTGCATTAGCTACTCCCTTATATAAGTTCCAAAACTGTTGGCGGCTAGCAAACCTATGGACACATAGCCAGGTCTCCTTGGTTCAACAAGCAGAGGCATCAGAGGCGGTAACACAGGAGCTACAAAATTAGGTATGATACCTCTTTCGAAGTACCAGGCATGGTACCTCTTTCGAAGTGCCAGGTATTGACGTCCCTCTCTCTCTCTAAGACCAATTGAAGAGAAGTTGTTTGCCAAGGGGAAACGAGCCAAGCAACCTTGATGAGTCCTCATCCTAGCCTACAAGCCACAATCCTACAATGATCCAAAAAATGGATGCCAAGGCCCTACTCTCAGTCTAGGATGCCGAGTAGTGGTTATGGTAGTAGTGATAGTAATCCCAGCTAAGGGGGTGAGTGCATAAGGAAGATATAGGCAAGCCAAGGATTGGGTTATGTTATTGCGGAGTGGGAGTGATTGAGCGAAGGCATGATGATCAAGTAGTGCTCCTGGTCATTCCTTGGCATACCATATGAAAACAAAGGATAAGGGGAAATGGATGAGCAAGAGCTCGTTTGGACAAGCCGGGCGATGCCGAGTCGTGGATTTTGCTGAACAAGTGAGCTTGGCTCAATTGAGTAGTGTTGTGGCCATGCCTCAGACTCAAATTTTGTGTTATCAATCATAATTAACGGTATCAAAGTTCCAATTTGTTGGGACTAAATAGAAGTGCCGTATGCCAAGCTTATTAGTTCGAAGCCCAAACATTTTCTATGGATCAGCTCTAAGACAATCAAGGAAAAGAAAAATCTCATATCATTTCCAAGTTTGCCACGATTGTCTGCATCTTTGAATGAAATTTTAGCATGATGAAGTTGTCTCAAAGGCAAAGTCAGCTGATAAACGACACAGTCAGAGTAAAAGGATCCTTAAATTACACACGAAATTAGGAACTTTAAACAAGAAAGCTAAAAAGTTAAGGATAATGTGGTCTACTATATTAAGACATGAAAACAATTAGAGAAAATTCAATATCCATAATATAGTGACAGCAAAATTGAGGAACAATGGGAGGGAGATACTCACAATTACTCTCTACAGTTTTAAATGCCATACATTTCCTTAAAGTGCTAAACTGGTTTCTTTAGCCTAATAACTTGTCTCTAATCTAGGAAGAACTATGATTTGTTGAGTGTATCTGATTTTTCCTATCAATTTTTCTTTAGCCTGATAATAACAAATCTTGCATTAATGTTGTCAGAACTATGGCAATATAGGCGAGAGGTTGGTCTGTCTAACAACATTTCCAATCAATTTAATGCATTAATATTCCTTTTGCCAATAACATTAAAAATGAAAGTAGTAATAATATAATATCAAATATCACTGACATGTAAAAAATGTTCGAAGTGAATTGAGTTAAACAACATACCGATGCATGGCAGAATCATGGCACTGCACACAGTAGACAAGAAGGAGCAAATCGCCCTTGTCACCACAAGTCTGACAAACAGTTGTCTGAAACAACAATTCTAAATGTCACTTCTAAATTTGATATCATTTTTACTGTGGTTTTAAGCTAAAAAACAAAAAATAATTGATTCCAATCTTGGAAAATATAATTAATTACAGGACAACATTGCATTTGAAAGTTCCATCAACAAGAATCAATAATTTTTTTTTACGAAACCTTTCAAATCACAATGTTCACATGATGCATGAAAAGCCATGTTACGTTGACTCAGGTACATATATTAGGACACAAGAATTTTGAGTTTTTAATTTGGTTTCAATTTTCTAAAAATTGAGTTTTTTGTTTTTTGTATTTTTTTATTTTTAGTGAATATTTTTAAAATTTTAAGCAATTTTTTTACCTTTTAAATGTACCTAAAAAGTAAAATATTTGTAAAAAAAATATTTTAAAAAGTACACAAGAATACAAGAATGTACTGAATTTTCTTCTTTTTTTTTTTTGTTTGTATTTTTAGTATTTACTGAATGTTGTAAAGATTTTTTTTTCACAAATATTATAGTTTTTAAGTGTATTTATGTTAGGTGTATCTAAAATTTTTTTAAAAAATTCTTAAAATATTAAAAAAATTCAGTGAAAACAAAAAAACATGAAAAGCAAAAAAACTCAATTTTCTAAAAAGTGGATCCAAAATTCGGAAATCAAACAAATAGTTTCTAGATTATACTTCCAGACAAGCAATATATATACTTCCAGGTATGAGGATACTCCTTGCACAATCAAGTGCATTACATTCTATGTAATGTTGTGATTACAATGTTTTTGTTCCAACACATAAATGAACTATAATTTAATTTACATGGCATGTTCTGGAAAGAATAGGTTTGTAATTTCCCCATGAAACAAGAAAAAATACTTTATCTATTGTCAAATCTAAGCATCTTTTTCTTTCATCATCATGTGTGCTCTAAGGATCATAGTGAACACTGTGAAGCATGTATTATTTTATTATTTTGTATTCATTAATGGTAGTTTAGTCTTTGCTACTCTTTAGGGCTTGCTTAGCTTAGTTATATATATATACCTCTTTGTAATCATTCTTATTAAGTTGCTTAATACATTTTATGTTATTATTTTCCTATTCTAAATTATCTGTCTCCTCACCACTAGGTTTTCCCCCCTCTTCTTCTTTAGGTATATCTTGTTCCACTAAGGTTTTTGATTCTGAAGCTACACATCACATGGGAAACGATTCTTCTTTATTGACTTCTATATTTTCACCTCCTTCTACTACTATTATGGCTGCTGATGGTACCTCCATGCCATCGGCAGGTGTTAGCTCCGTTCGACTCATTGTCCCTCCCTTTTTTGATATCTATTGCATTCCCCAATTGACTTTGAATCTAATTTTTGTGAGTCAGCTTTGTGAGGTTGGTTATCCTGTTCCCTTTTTCTTTTCTAGTTGTGTTGTGTAGGATCCTCATTCCAAGCAACAGATTGGGACATGTCGTAGGTTGGGCAGGTTGTATGTTCGTGAGCACCTACATGTTCCTTCTCTTGCTGCCTCTTTAGTAGAATTGTCATCTTTTTGTCTTAGTTCTAAGTCGTTTGAGTTTTACTTGTTGCATTCTTGCCTTGGAAACATTTCTAGTTCTCGTTTACACTTTGTACACCATCATCTTCAACTTCGCACCTTGTCCTTACCTTTCATTTCATCCACTATGCAGTTGGCTGACTTCTTCACCAAGTCTCGTACAACTTTACGCTTTTGCTTTCTGCTTGACAAACTCTCAATGCTTCCTATTGTCACATCCTGAGTTTGTGTGTGTGTATGTGTGTTCATTATTTTGTTATTTTGTACTCATTAAGGGTAGTTTTGTCTTTGGTACTCTTCAGGGTTTGATTAGATTAGTTATATATATGCCTCTTTGTAATCACTCTTATTAAATTGCTTAACACATTTTACGTTATTTTGTTTTCCTAATCTAAATTATCAAGCACATGAATTCATACATCAGGCATATTTCATACCTTTATCCTTCACAACTAGTGTTGACACAGGTAGTGGATGTAACAGAAGACGCCATAAAAAACAGGTATAGAATATTCACAGCAAAGAGAATGAAAAGAAGGGAATTGAGGAACGGCTGTAGCTGTTTCCTATAATCAATTCTGGTAAGTGAAGAGTTTCTCAGAGTCAACACACATTGGTCCCTCCAAATGATTCCAAAAACCTATATCAGAAAAAGACCAGTCCACTCGATTGATGTTATCATTAATATTGCCACATGTTCCAACAGTGCATTGCTAATACAAAACTAAATGCCGTTAGGAAGAAACATAAAATGAGCCCATTTGACTTTGTAAGCAGCACCCTACTGGCTGCTAGGACATGTCAATATATAAATAATGACAAGTGTCCTTGGTCATAAGAAAAAGGCAAAAACTGGAAGAACATAAGACACTTTTCACTAATTTTAAAATACTATACTGATTTTTAACCTTTTGTCACCATTTCCAAAACACTTTTTACACAAATCTTGATACTAAACAATGCCTCAGCCACTTTTTAGCTTTTGACATAAATAATGTACATGCTAACAATTTGATTGAATTGATTCCCATATGCCTTACACCGGATAAGACAATTCACATAATTCATTCCATAAGCAGCCATTAATCTGTCTTAAAGCTCATCTTGTAAACCAAATGACATGCTCATTTTGGCCAATACAATTGCACTTGGTCAAGTTACCCTACTGCAATTTCCAGATTGCAACTGATACAACAAAATGAAGTGTCCATCTTTTGGCTCAAGGACTTCAAACCACACATGTTTATTATTATTCCACACGACTCAATTAAAATAAAAGGCAAGGGAAAAATTTTGGGATGGAGTAATGCCCAGTCAAGCTGGTCACAACTAAAATGTTCACATTAAACAAATAAAAATGCTAACCCCAAAAAAAAATCCAAATATGCAGATCAGTTGTTTATATTTCCACCTTATAAAGTAAAGATTAAAGCTTAAAAGTTACAAGAGTGTAGAGGCTCTTGTTTTCTCAGATCCCAATAACAAACAATTGTGCACTTCTAGTTCTAAATTCTGATCCAAACCAAAGAAAAGAATAACTAAATAAGGTAAAATCTTCAATCAAAACTTAGAAAACAATTAAACCCAAATTAATTGCTAGGACCTCATAACTAAACCTTTATATTATGTTTGGATCATAGATTTGGGTAGGGAATCGAAAAAAAGAAAGGAAAAACTAGTTAAATTTTTTCTCCATTTCTCTCGCCTTTTCCTTCCTCTTTTCAAATTACTATGCTCTAGACTGTGTTTGGATCATGAATTTGAGTGGAGATTTAGAAAAAGAAAGAAAAAAAGTGAGACGAATGTCAATGAAATATATATATATATATTCAAAACCCTATCTAAATCCATGATACAAACACAACCTTAGTGAAAAACAATCACAACTTGCAATAACAAAACTATTAAATCACACGACACACGTGAACGTCTCGATTAACCACAACCACAACCACAACCTACAAACCAGGATCTCTAAATGCACATATACTAAAACCCATGAATTAGAAACAAATAAAGAAATCACCAAACCAACCTTTACAATTTAATCAGAGGACAAAATCTCAACTTTCTCTTGCTTCGGCAAATATCTATACTATTATATATGTGAGCACCTACTTTGGTGTCTTAAAACTTTCTTTTTCTTTATGTCAAGTGCCCAATTTTCTATTCACAAAAAGAAAAATAAATAAATAAATAAATAAGAGGGTGTGACTTGAATTTAAAACCACAAATTTCATAAACAAGACCCTTATCATTTGAGTTGCATACACCATATAACAAATATTTTGTACATTTATTTATTTATTTGACTTGCACACGCATTAATGCGTTGAGCAACACAAAACAAAACTTCTCACATACGCATAAACACGCTTATATAAATGGCTAGCAACCTAAATCTGCATTCTCTTTTCTCTGCTTTGCCGACTCGTCTTGCTTTCACTTCCATCTAATCCAAACCCTAATTCATCCAATCTTATACTCTCCCACCGACCTACTCCCGATTGCTAGTGAAGCCGCTTCTTCGATTCAGATCCTTCTCTGAGCACTGGGATGCCCTAATCAACAGTTCATATTTCACTAGGTTGCATCTGAATCAATCAATCGAAACCAAGACCAATCTGAGATCCACTTCTATTCGGTCGATTTTGATTCGTTTGATGGCGTTGTAGAGGCCACAGTGCGGTTTATGTAGGTAAGGCTTTCTTGTAATCAATCGCTCTCTGTTTGTCCCAATGGGTTTGACACCATTGTTTTGTCGAACCCATCAACTTGAAACTCCATGAAATTGCCTTATGCTTCTATTGAGAGTTTCAAAACCTAGCTAGGTATTATGTGCTTCGCATTTATGGATTTGGGTATAAAATAGTGCTAGTGATGATTTCAAAGACTTGAGTGATGATGATTATTTTGATTATGAAGTTTAGGTTTATTGTTCGAAATCGAATTCATGACACAGGGCTGAGAAGTTCCCTAATTAGCCTAATTTGAATCAAGAAGGTGGTGCACTAGCCAGTGGTGCTTTGCATTGGGTTGTGACTCAAGAACCCAGGTCCATAAAGGCGGCTTGATTGTTGGTTTTGATCTTGGGCGTGAGGAATATGAATTCTTATATGACTGTTCAGGGCTTGGAGGGATGCCTATTGGTATTTTGCTACTATTTCATAGTTGGGGTTCATTTATCTCGCACCTAAGTTTGTTTCCGTTACAAAACCAGATGTGGTTGGGCACGAATTGTGGCAAGTGAAGATGTGGGTGGGAAGCCTTACTTACATAGGTATGCACATGCGTATACATTAGCAGCAAAAGAGATTAAACACTAAAATCACTTTAATAATGTGCTAAAATCAAAAGAAAACAGGACAGGCTCACCATTAGAACACCGGACTCGCACGAAGATGCCATGGACACCGCTTCATAGTATAAATCAAGTCTGCGATTTTAGAGAGAGAGAAGAGAGAGAGAGAGTCACGCTTATCGACCTCGTTCATGTGTATATATAAGCCTGTTTGGAAAGTTAAAGTTTGTGCTAAAATAGTGAAGATAAAAGGCCTATTTTGGAAGAGGGTAAAAAGCGATTTTTTTTTTTGACATTTAATTAAGTTTTTGATTTTTTTAGATAAATAATTTGGAAAGTTAGTAAAAAATTATTTTTAATTTTTTTTATTAATATTTATTTATGATATCAAATCACAATAAAATGACTAAACTACTTCCATTCAATTTAAAATATTTATAACTTCACTCATGTAGCACATTTTGACCCATGAGGGATAGAATTGTAATTTTACCAGTGACTAAAAACTAACTTCTCCAAATGAAAAAAAATACAAAAAAGCCAGCTTTTGACTTTTGCTACAAACCTAAAAAAGTAACTAAAAGCCAAGTTCCCAAAACACTTCAAAATGAATTAAAATAATTAATATTTAATTCATAATCATTTTAATTTAAGTACTGTTATTAGTAATTCATCACTTATTTTGGACCCTTATTTTTTAACCTTTTATTATTGTACCTCATTTGATGAACTTAAGATTTGGTTTGGTTTGGTTTGGTTTAGTTATTGTACCTCAAATGAAATAATTAAAAAGGATATCAAAATTTTTGAGACACTCCATCTCACAATTGAATCCACACCCACTACATCATGAGTTAGGATTTATGAGACTACCCATCTCCATCACCACCCATTCATCTTCTCCAATTCCCACATTCAAAATCTACGCACCCTCAAAATCTTGAAAATCCTTTGGCAGCAATATTCTGGCAGCAGCGGCAACAACTATTTGATTACATACACTTCTCTGACTATGACAATGAGTGAAAGTTTTTTTAGCAATCACAACTCCATAAGACGAGAGGAGTATCACAATAAAAGCTCCGAACAGGTTCAGAACAGGTTCATAACTTTAATGGTGTTCTTAACTCAGAGGAGATTGCCCTTATAACGGCAAGTTTTATGGAAAAAATAATAAAAAGTATTCATCATTTTTTCAGAACTGAACTCCTGAACATATGACCAAAATTCAAGAACACAAGTCTGAACATATTTTATTTGCTAAGGAATAGGTACCCGAACATTTCTTATTTGTTCGAGAATAGATAATTGAAGCAGCAACAGAAGAAGACAAACAAAGAAGGTCGGACCACCCTTGAGTGGTAGATCGGGGGGTAAAGTCCTGCCCAATTTTGCGCACATAGAGAGCATACAAGTACAGTGAGGTCATAAATGAATCACAGAAAAATCAACTAGATAAGTATAAAAGTATATTGTGTTGTGTATGTGAAAGGAGGTAATAGAAAAAAAAAATCAAACTGATTGACAAACCTTGTAATGAAGCAGAAAAAAAACTTCTTAATCACCACAAATTTTTTTCACTAGTTTTGGGAGGTTCCACCATTGTGGGTTTTGTTAGAATTTTGGAAAAAATGCTTTTTGAGATGTAAGGGGTGTGGAGGTGTGTATTTGAATGGGTGAAATATTTTTATAAGAATAATTTTGGTGTTATTTGGGAAAGAAAAGAAATTTTATGGATTTTAGAATTTATAAGTGGGGTCTAAAGAAATAGGGGCTCCAAAATAATTGATGGGTGATAATAACAGTTTTTTTCACTTTTTCTCTCACAATCATCAAATTAACCTAAAAAAAGTCAATTATTTTTCAAAACACAATTTTTTTAGCCAAACTAAAATGGCCAAAAATCAAAAAGTCAACTTAAAAAAGCCAAATACCTTTTAAACACAACTTTTTTAAGGATAAACTACCAATAGATTCTAGTAGTTAGACTTAATTCTCATAAAGTTCTATTGAAAATAAATCTTAGTAAAATCGCCGCTAAAAATAATTTTTTATGATTTTTTTTCCACATGTCACTAAAAATTGATAATTAGTGACTTTTTTTGTCACGATTTTTATAAATTATCACTAAAACTCACAATTATTTTGTGACGAATTTTTCAAATTGTCGCTAAAACGTTAAAAATTGGTGACATTTTTTTAAACTACACTAAAACTTATAATTAATGACATTTTTTGTGACAATTTTCAAATTGTTGCTGAAAATTAACAATTAGTGACATTTTTTAACAATGTTTGATAAAAAACGTCATTAATTATTAAAGGACATATTGGACAATAAATCCACTTATTACCTATACATAAGTCCCCCCCTTTTTAACTAGGCTAAAATGGCTAAAAATCAAAAAGTTAACTAAAATAGCTTATTCGCAAACAAGACTATAGAGAATGACGAGAATAGAGACAACTACTATGGTTGAGTTAGAAGTCAACTAAAACACATTGTAACAAGCCCGCGGGGGGCCTCGCTACAGCTTGGACTCGACTTTCGTTAGTCACGGTTCTAAGTCTGAACCAAAGAGTCCAAATCCGGCAAATCGTTTTAAGAAAAACAAGATTTTTTGAAAGAAGTGCCAAACATGGACTGTTTTGCCAGATACAGAGTCGCCACCTAAATATTTTATTTTGGGAAATTTAGGAAACCCTGACTCGGTGCCAAAAGGCCACGTGTCCGTCATCACCAAAGTTGCCTCGGCTCGGGAACTTGGTTATGTGTTGACTAGAATTTATGTAATTTTATGATATATTTAATTGAAATGTGATTTGGTATGTTTAAATTGGATTAAATAATGCTAATTTACAAGAGTTGGACTTATTCACCAAATTGCCATGCTTAGTGGGCCACTTTCTCCAACACCTTGAGGCTTGAGTACACTTAGACATACCTTTTGCTCAGCCATTTTGAGAGACAAACCGACTAGAGAGAAAGCTTGATTTCATCTCAAATTGGCTTGGAAAACTTGGAAGAATTGAAGAGAGAATTGGCAAATTGAACTTCTAGACTTGAAATTGAAGACCTAAGCTAGAGAATTTATCTTCTTGTTTGTGTATTTGAGCTGATTCTTGGATGGTTCATGAGTTATAAGTGATCTAAGTCTAGAATTGGTTCTAACATGTTGAATTGAAGCTTAATCCATGCATACATGTCCTTATATGGAAGTTTTGAGGTTATGCTCATGGAAATTGTTACATGCACGTTCATATTATAGTTCTAGTACATGAATTCATCATGTTTTTGGAAGTTTTGACTCAATTGAGCTTGCATTGAAGCTTTGAATTTGGTTGAGCACTTGCATGTCACGTTTAAATTATGTATTTGAACTTTGGATGAAAATTGTGCTCAATTGAACTACCTTTGGACTTTGATTTCTCAAATTGATCTTTGAAACATGTCATATTATGAGTTTACAAGTGTTTTCCAGAAAATTAGCCCAAAAGGATCGTTTTTGGTACGTTTAAAGTTGATTTCGAGCTTGAAGGTTCAATCTGGAATTTCCAGAATTTGGACTCACGCTCGAGCGTACAACCTGTGTTCATGTAGCCCGCTCGAGCGGGGAAAGTGACGCTCGAGCTGGAAATGCGTGTATCCAGTACTTTGAATGTGTTTACAATCCGCTCGAGCGGGAGAATGCACGCTCGAGCGAGGACTTATGTCTCACGCTCGAGTGGAGGTCGAGCGCCCATCGAGCGTGAATTTCACCCATCCAGTACTTTTGCAGTTCGCTCGAGCGGAGTAAGTCACGCTCGAGCGGGGATCTTTTGTCTGCATGTCTGCTCGAGCGGGGAAACCCACGCTCGAGCGGGACCCCTGTTTTCTGAAAATTCTGAAAAGTGTTTTAAAGTGCATCTTTGCATCCTCATTCCATCCTAGGCACTCCTAGGCCTAGTTTAAGACATGTTAGTGAGGATATTGATGTAGAACCACACCGAGGCAAATTAGGGATTAAGTTATTATTTCCTAACTGTGTAGCTTAGTGTGTGTTCATTCTGTAACTGTATAGGGTTGGCATCCGAGGACGCTCTAGCTGCTTATAGCCTAGTGCTCTGGGAGTAACAATGTTGTAAAGATATATTCAACCATGAATATTTTCTGAATAATCAACTGTACTGCTTTCTGAAATGATATTTCTTACTGATTGAATGCTTGTCCTATTTGCAAACTGTATTCGTGGCATCCATAGTAATTTACTGTTACTGTACTGTACTGCTACTGTCACAGAGATCTCTATCGGTTCCCATGTTTGGAACCACTACTGTTTACTGATATGATGGCCATCAATTGACTGTTCGGTCTGATAAGACCTACTATACTGTTTGCCATTGGATGTGCCACTTATGACTGCTATAATCGAATAACTGATATACTGTTCAAATGACTGTTTTAAGTACTGAAAGGACATTCATTCTTAACCTTTTTACGCATATGTTATTCAATGGACTTTAGCTTACTATTTATATATATATATATATATATGTAGGTGTCCAGGCACCGGATCGGAGCTAGGGGCGTTGGGTTTAAACTCCCTTTTTGTCAAGCCAACCAACGTGCCTCACTGCGAGGTTCCAAGTGCTGCCAAGCTAAGGCTGCTTCGGGGTGATTTAGATTTCCCTTTTTCTGTCTCTGTTTTGTATAGACTGTTACTATACTGTTATGGTAGGGACTTAGTCCCTAACCTGAATCATTGTATATGATGTATGTATATACTGTTTTTGTTCTGAATGTGAATATGTTATGAAAAGTCTTTTTGCATACAAACTGTCACAGCTCATTGGGCATCTTTTATTACTGTTTTGGCTTCTGCCCACCCCTGTACTCTGTATTATTATTTTACTGTTAAACAGGCCTTCGGTAATCTCGGATTACTGGCCGGTTACGGTGCTAAACCCATAGGGGCGGGTTTGGGTCGTGACAATTAGAGCATCTCTAACCCACTAAATATATAATGCTTGTTAGTCAAAATCCCTAGTATAATTCACTTTTTTTAACTCCAATGCACTAGGCATATATTTAGGCATTTTGACTCAACTCAAATTTACTAACTACATATAACTAGCCTTCAAAGGTTAGGCAAAGTATATTTAATCATTAATATTTTTTCCCTCAATCTTTGTTGCTGATGTAGTACTCTTTAAGGATATTTAGTTTAACATTCCTCTCC